AAAAAAAAAAAAAAGAAAAAAAAAAACTCGATCCAATCGCCACCCCGACGTGAATCGACAACAACAACACGAACCTCATTTCCGGTTAACATTCGCACGAGGTATATTGGCTTATCTCAACTTTTGACATTGTTTTGAGTTGTTTGAAAATTGGTAATTGTTATAGTATATTTGAATGTGGTGGTGTTTGAAGATTGTGAATTGTTAATTGTTTATCGATTATGTGTGATGTTGAATTGGAGATTAGAATTGTTGATACCCAATTTGGCTCCAATTAAATAATTGATAAATAAAATAATAAAATACGGCCAGATAATCAATGAGCCGACAATACGAAATAAATAAATATATAAACAGGTTCTCGAGACTGATCAGACAGAAGCCACCTCAGATAAACGTCAATCGAAGCCGTCAAACATCATAAGTGGGCCCCACAATGATTATCTCCTTTAAATAATGATGTACCATTTTTACTTATTCAAGGGCCCACTTGTAAAAGTGAGGGATGTATATATATGGAATGGGGAGGAGAGAGAAAGGGAGGGGTTCCCTTCATTCTTCATTTTTCCTTCCCACACAACATAAGAGAGAGAGTAGGGGTGGTTGGATGAGCTCTCTTGATTATTCCTCTTCCCTCAACAAAAGAAAGGAGGTTTCTCTCCAAAATAAGAAATAAAGCACCCATTTTCATCTTTTTTGTTCTTTATTTTCATACAATAATTTGATTTATATTTAACAGTTGATCGTCCAATTTTCGACATCAACAGCCTCATTTCGAGATTTGTGATTTTGAACTGTTGCTGCAACCAGGTGAGTATATTTATAATGTATTCCATATTTATCGCACTTACTATTTCGTGTAATGTTTCTTTTGAAAATTTTTGTATGCATGAGAAGTTTAGTCTAAGTGTCCCGAATGATAGTGCCTTTGATGAATGCGAAAGCAGTAGGAGGTCGCCTGCCCGTTGTATCCGGGAGGGACGCTCTATGCCGTTGTATCCGGAAGGGGAAAAACATCTCTGCTGTCTCCTGGAAAGGATCCTGCGAACCGTTGTACCCGGGGGTGGGAAGGTTTCCAGTTACAGCCATGCCGTTGTATCCGGAAGGTTGTTGTATGTACATAGGAGGTTTGCGATAGGGCCAAGTAGGGAGTTAGACTGTTGGATTCTATGCATACTGAATATTGTGTTACTGTTTTAAAATGTTATGCGGGATAAACTGTGCGATAATGGTGAGCTTGTTGGTTATGCTCACCCACATTATTTTTCTTTATTGTGTCTTCTCTTCCTTTGCTTTAGGTTCAGACGAGATGGAGGCGGTGGCGTAAAGATGAGCGAGATGGTGGTCATAAATGGATGTGTCCGTTGCTTCCGCTTGATTGTATTTATGAAAAACTACTTGTTTTCGTTTTGGATAATTAATGCTTCCGTTGAGTTTGGATTATTTATGTTCCCGTTGAAACTATGGTTTATATGTTAAACGTTTTGGATGATGTTGAAACTTGAATAAGTTGGATCAATTTGATAAATGTTGGCTTATACGTGTGTAGGATTTGTCTATGTGTCATAATTGTTTAAATGTTGCCAATAGCTAAGTAGCTATCATTGAGTTTTAAATTTTGAATTGATTTTTTTAAAAAAAAAATAACTCTGATTTTTACAAATTAATTCGATAAATTCTTTAAAATAAAACGGGGTGTTACACCGTGCCTCAGGAAGAAGAAGAAGAAGAAGAAGGTGAAATTTTTTAACTTAACACAAAAATATAATTTTATTTATTTTTTGTGAATTTTGTTAAGTCGAATTTCTGATTTCTTAAAACAATGAATTACTCAGCTGAAGAAGAAGAAGAAGAAGAAGAAGAAGAACCTATCACGCCCACAGCGTCATCTTCTTCACGACCACCACGTCGTCGGATTAGCTCCCGACCGCGCAACCCTACGAATCGATACACTCCTAGTTAGTTGTGTTGTATTCTGGGAATTCTGTGGACATATATATTTATTTTTTTCTTTCTTGGTGGATTATGTGTAATGATATTTGGACATATTTGGATTTTTATATTTGGACAATGAATTATTGTGCTTCATTTTTCTTTCTTTGACGAATGGATTGATATGAGCTTGTGTAATTAATATTTGATTGTGGAATCGATCTCGATTAACAGGTGTGTTTTTGTAATTTTTCTGTAATTTTTGTTGTTTCTGCACAGTAAAACGTATTTTCAAGAATACGTTTTACTGTGCAAAATTAGAGCAAAATCAATTTGGGGCTAAAATTAGGGCAAAATCAAGTTGGGGCTAAAATTAGGGTTAAAAACGTATTTTCAAAATACGTTTTATATTTTTAATTATTACTTTCTGGAAAAATTTGTTTTCAAAAATTATAAATATTAATTTTATTTATAAAACGTATTATTGAAATACGTTTTATAATTAAAAAATAAATATATAATTAATTTTAGTTATAAAACGTGTTCGAGTAATACGTCTTTGTTTTTTTTTTAACTTAAAACGTATTTAGGTAATACGTTTTACCATACTTTAATTAACTTAATTACATTTATTACGTTAATTAATTTTTTTTTTTTTTGCAAAAACGAATTCATTAAATACGTTTTACTTGTAAAAACGTATTTTGTAAATATGTTTAATATTGAAAAACGTATTTACAAAATACGGCCTTTTGATTTTTTTCCACTTTTTTTTTTGTTGTCCACTTATTTTTTTATTTTTAAATAAATAAAAAATTCGTATGGGGTTACCAAATGAGGTTTCTAACTCTTAGGAATGATCTGTATGATGGTGTGTATTGACTTCATTGGACATATAGGAAATGGCCATAGGCATCACGATATAAATTGAAACGAGGGTATATGATAAACAGTGCATTGAACTGAGTTAGAACACATATAAATTCTGAGTTACTAAATTGTGTTGCAACAGAGAGGTAATTAATTTTGAGGAAGTACAAACTAGAGATAAAAACTTGTCGAGAAGCGTCTCACTACCCTTAAAAAAATTTCATTAATAGATCGATTGTGCGCGGTTGTACAATTTGGATTTATGTAACTAGAAGTCCCTTCTAGCTTAGCCAATACTATACACGATCCTACCAATTATTTCTCTGGCGACAACTCGCGCGTGGACTTTATAAACTCGAATCTCTCGAGCAAATTAGTACAGTGTAAGAACATCGAAGTACTGAGAACTAAACAAAACAAACTGAAAAGAATCAAAGATCTCGAACTCTTAATTGAAAGGTTAAGAACAAATCTCTATCTCTCCAGTAACCTTCAATTGATTTTTGAGTAGGCTATATATACAACTCCTTAAACAGTAAAGCTTCCAGGTCTTCTTTCCATCAATGTAGCAAGTTCCTTCAAGTTGTGATCGTTCAAATCTCCAAAATAAGGAAGTAATCTTGCTCTCTCTCTTCCTTCTTTCCATATGCGCCGATTCCATGCAATCCGTGCAATAAGTATTCTACAAGAAATATGAAAAACGAAAAAAACAATCTCAGTATGGTGTAAGAACATCGAAGTACTGGGATCTAAATAAAACAAACTGAAAAGAATCAAAGATCTCGAACTCTCAATTGAAAGGTTAAGAACAAATCTCGATCTCTCCAGCAACCTTCAATTAATTTTCGAGTAGGCTATATATACAACTCTTTAGACAGTATATCTTCAAGGTCTTCTTTCCTTCAATGTAGCAAGTTCCTTCAAGTTGTGATCGTCCAAATCTCCAAAATAAGGAAGTAATCTTGTTCTCTCTCTCTCTTCCTTCTTTCCATATGCGCCGATTCCATGCAATCAATTGAATAAGTATTCTAATAAAAAATATAAACATAATATATAAGAATTATATATTATGTAACCTGCTCAACCTTCATTTTCAGGGCAGCCCGTTTACGTGGAATAATAAGCGAAAAGGTACATATAATATTCAAGCTCGATTGGATAGATTTGTGGCTACTGAAGATTGGTGGAATGAATTTCCTGAAGCTTGGATTGAATATCTTCCTTTTCAGTTCTCCGACCATCGTCCCATTCTTCTACATCACGATAGGCACCTTAACTTTCAGGGAGTTCGGAAAATTCGCCCATTCAGATTCGAACCTTTCTGGTTGCGAGAGAAATCCCTTTGCACGGTGGTTCGGGAAGGCTGGGAGGCGGAACATGCCCTCGAGAGTAATAGAGACACCCCCAGCTACTTTAACAGAAAAGTAATAGCTTGCAGTAAAAAGTTGAAAGAATGGAGTAAGAATTCTTTTGCTGGTTGGAGGAAAAAATTGCGGGAAAAAGAAAAGCATCTTCAAG